AGAAGATGGATGTCCTAGTTTAAGACAAGAAAGCAAGTTCACTCTTCTCCACTTTTTCTTCTACTTAAGGCCTCTGTGGATGGAATGAGACTCAGCCATATTGGGGCAGATCACCTGCTTTACTCAGATCACTGATTCAAATACTGATCTCTCCCAGAAACATCCTCATGGACACACCCAGAAATAATGTGTTACCAGCTATCTGGGCATCCCTTAGTCCTGTCAATTTGACACAGATACTGACGATCAGTCTCTAAACCATGACTTATTCTTAATTTTATACTAGGCCATAATTTCTTACGTAGATGTGAAGGACACATCAGCATCTGGAGCAAAGAAGCTAAAGTTATCCTGCCTCTCTCAGGACAGGGACTGGCCCGCCCTGTGTCTGTGACTACTAGTTCTGTGGCTTTGGTCTGCCCAGTAAATAGCTCTTAGACTTAGCTCAGTGGTGTTCTATAAAACATTCCCAGAGGCCTCTGCTCGGCCATAGGAAACACGGACAGAGTGTAGCTATGATAGCACCCTTGATCACTTTAGAGACTAGGATGGAGAAGGAAAGGCATCCCTAGACTATCAGGTCTGGCTCAGGCCTCCTCATTGCCTGGGCCTCAGACTCATCAGATTTACTTGCTGCTCAGCATGGAGCAAATGGAAAATCCAACTGTTTTTACCCTTGATGAGGATGTCCTTGGTGAATGTGCTGTGGCAACCAAAGGAGCCCAAATTGGGGTGATGGAGGGTGAATTTCCTTAGTAGTCAGGTATGGCCCCATTATAGTGATTTTCCCATTGCCCTGTGCATGGCTGTCCTACCTATGGTGCCCAAGAGCTACCAGCACCTTCAGGCAATGGGCCTGTTCTCCTGATGGTCCTGTTTTACTCATCTTCATGCTTCTGGCCTTCCAGGACCACTGGAGACCCCTGGGAATGGACCATGCTATTCTTCTTCGAATGCCTATAAAAGGTGGCTCCCAGTACGGCTCCTATGTCACCTTCATGATGGTGGCTGGCATGTTAATTACCTTCTGTAGAAGATCCACCAGCATGAGTTTGGTGTGCCTGACACGTTTCACTACCTCATCCCTCTGTTACCCTCAATGATTCAACTTCCTTTCTGGCACTGTTCACCTGCTCCACTTCCTGGCCCCCATGAACTAAGGAGTTTTGCTTCACCAAACACTTCCACCATGAGGATACTGCTTTAAAGCCTGCAAACAGTAATGAAATTCCTGAAACCATGAGCTACATTAAACTTCTCCTCCTTTAAGCGTGGATGCTGTGTATTGTGTCTCAGTGACAGGGGAGCTGACTAATACAAAGTCTGGGACTGCAGCTGCTCCCCAGGATCTCAGCAGGCCCAGGTAGAAGACTGAGTGAGGTGGACACAGGTTCACCTGAACTGCTCCAGTTGAAGCTGAGTGGACTGGGGGGCTATTAAGGAGCACTTTCAGATTATATTATTTCAGAGTTTATATTTTTTAAATACTTTAAATTTTTATATTATCTCAAATTAGGTTATTTCAGGTCAGATTATTTCAGGAAGTATCAGTACACCAGGTATCCATCAGTATGAATGTTTGCAGTTATGTATAAAATGCTCCCAGACAACTTATTCCCAACTTCAGAACTCCCCACTGTGCTGAAGACAGCTGCAGCTGGGACTGCATCTCAGCTCCCTGTCTCCCTCTGCCTGACTGTGCTTTCTTCTTCCTTTTGTGTTAATCCCCAACCCTGCACCCTTACGATTGCTGTGTCTGCACCCATGCCATATCTGGAACCCAACTTGCGACACTGGCCAAAGGAACAAAAGACAAGATCCATGATTTGAAGACTCAGTTTAGCTAGAAAGGTCAAACGTACACACAGAGATAAATAATCTTAGTAAAGGATAGGTGAAGGTTATAAACTTGTTGAAGGATGACACTCTGCTCATTTGAATATTTTCAGAGCCCAGCTACAGAACTGATTCTCATAATTGTGGGATGGATTAAGAGTTCCCCCAAAGACTTCAGTGTTGAAGGCTTGATCCAAAATGTAGCAAAGTTCAGAGCTGGAACCTAGAGAGTTGATTGGATCACAAAAGTGCTAACCTCATAATTTGTCCATTCATGAGTTCATAGCTCAAGGAGCTATTGTGAAGTGGGGACTGGTGAAGGGAGTACGCCACAGGAGTGGGTGGGGTGTGACTTTGAAGGGCTTATGTTCAGGCCCCTTCCTTGAGGGCTTACTCTCTCTCTCTCTCTCTCTCTCTCTCTCTCTCATACCTGGCCCCATGAGATGAGTAGCTTCTTCCTCCACGTACTCCTTCCACTCTGATGTTTGGTCTTGCCTCACACCAAGAGTAAGGGAGCCAGCATAATATGACCTGAAACCTCCAAAACAGTAGGCCAAAACAAACCTTCCCTCCTTTAAATCGATCTTCTCGGGTATTTTGTCATGGTGACAGAAATCTAACACACAAAGCAGATGCATGACATACTCATTACACGTGAGAAGGGCTATCAGAGTTCAGAGGAACACAAGTTCTCAGTGGAGATTTGTATTGATAGGCGAGAAAGAGAGACAGAGACAGAGAGACAGAGTCTTACATAAAAAAGAGATCTCAAAGAATCAAGACCAGATTAAGAAGAAATTGGGCCATCTGTGTAGTGTGCCAACCTACAAGGGCCATTAAAATAGCATCAGAACTGTAACAAGATGAGTAATGGTGTGACTTTGCATGTCTGTGATTCTCTGAAGGACAGTATTAGATGTAACTGGAAGCACAACTCTGCAACCTCAGGCCATCCGGGTGCAGGAAAACCCCAAAGTGCATGTGCAAATAACAACACAAGACCACTGGTTTCTCTCTGAAGAGGCAGGGCTTTGCCAGTTCAGGATGAGTGGAGCTGAATGGCTGAGGATGGCACAGTGGCTGGAGGCTCTACCATTATTTTTCTTCTCTGATTCTCATTTTCCCCCATGCAATTCTAAGCCACTCCCCTAAGTAAATATTGAAAACCCATGTAAACAACCCTGATTTTAAAAGATGCCAACAAATTAGTCTGCTCTAAATACATTTGTGTCTCAATTTACCACAGAAGAAACACAACTGGGAAGAGGGAGATAGTTAATCAAAAAAGAAATTCATAGACTAAAAATCAAAGGCTGGAAAACAATATTCCATGCAACAGGAACAAGACAAAAAGCAGGAGTAGCTATCCAACTTTAAACAAAGTGGACTTCCAGCCAAGTTTGATTAGAAGAAGTTAAGAAGATATAAGAGATAAAGGTAGAAGAGATAACAATTATAATATATATGCACCAAACAACAGTTCAACCAACTTCGTAAAACAAGTACTACTGGACATAAAAGACCAGATAAACATAAACACAATTATAGAGGGGGAACTTCAATATCCACTATCACAAACAGCCAGATCAACTAGACAAAAACTCAACAAATAAATATCAGAGGTGAACAAAAACCTTCAAATAAATGGTCTTAATAGACATGTATAGAGTATTTCACCCAACAACAATAGACTACACATTCCTCTCAGTAGCACATGACACTTTCTCCAAAACAGATCACATACTAAATGCAAAGAATCAAATATAT